GAGAGAGAGAGAATTAGTTTTTACATAATAATTACTTATATATTGTATATTAAGTAATATTATATTATTTATATTATCACAAGGTATTATATTAGTAAACTGTATTAAATATTGTGAATTATGTGTAAATACTTCCTTGCTTCAAATAGTGAACTAAAGGGAGACGTAAGACGCCGGTTATTACTAAATTAAAATTTTTTGAGTTATACAGCAACAGTTAATTTAAAATATTTTTACTATAAGGGTGTAATTTTATTACATATTTTGTAATTGGGTTTGTGAATGTGCGTTTATTATTGACATTAAATTTTTATGTGTAATGTATATTTGTCATAGATAAGGCAATTGGATTAATGTAAATTTTATTGACAGGCTATTTACACAAATACCGACACTTCATGGGATTTCTATGAAGTGTTATTACATTAATAATAACCCTTATCTAACCAAATGCTATGAAATAATCAATTTTTAATATTAAACAGGAAATTAATGTATATATTATAAGTTGGATTGTTATAATATTATAAGATTAGTAATGAAAAATATCTGTATAATAAAATATATAATATAAAATAATATTATTATTGTGAAAGTACAGTATTAATATTAGCGAATAAGATACTATTTAATTTTCAATGTAAAATATTTTATTTAATATAAAATAAAATATTTATACTTTTATATAAAAAAGCCTATTTCTGTATAAAAAAATATTGGAAATCACTGTTTATATTAAGAAAATCCCTATTTTGTAAATTGGTTTATTTATGTCATAATATCATTGATACTCAAATATATTTTTATTAGATTACAAATATTTTGATGGAAATGTAAGTACTTTTTAAAAAATAAAACACATATCTCAGGGTTTAATCATTATTTCAAAAGTACTATAAAATTAAAAATATATTATCAAGGGATTTCCTATGAATTTTCCCATAATTTGAGGTTTTATAATAAAAAGTATTATCTGAAACCTGTTTATTACAATATGATATTATGAAAAAATGTTATTATAATAACCAACTTTAATTATAAATAGATTATACAAGTTATCAATATAAGAATATCTTAGTACATTTTATTTGGGAGATTTTAAGCACTGCGATTTTAACTTAGTTATATATGTTTTGTTTTAATATGTTAACAATTTTAGCTATTGTTGTCATATCACACTGTGTTTGTGGGTTAAATAAAATAACCACAAATCATACCTTAACCGTGCACCATGCATCACAACATGAACATTTAATACCTGGATTAATCAATGACTTCTGTAACTAGTATTTTTCATTAACTTTTAATTTACTTAAAAATTTATAAATATAATTTATTTTTAACATTATTTTTAAAACTTATAATTTCAAAAATATAATTTATAATATTTATATAGCATAAACCTGTAAATTAAATTAACAAAATTTAATATATTATTAATAAGCAATATAAAAGTGAATTTGGTTGCGCTTATTATAATCATGTTTTTATAATTTTAATGATAATAAAGTGGAAGAAGCGGATGATGTGGAGGAATGGGATAACTCGACGACACCAATGAATATATCAATGATAACCACAAGTCGTATATTGGCTGAAGTGAGAAATACAACTGAAATGATGCTGAAGATGGCCAGGGATCAGATAAGACACTTGAAGCCCAAAGCCATTCACTCATTGAAACATTTGCGATCACTGGAGGCACAGGTAGTTCAAGAGAGGGCACACCTGAAGGAAATGAAACAACTATTTGTGACAACTGTTGGGGGATTACGGGATGAATTACGTAATCAAAAGGATATACTGGACGGACATATGCGAAGCGCCGGTACTAAAAATGTCACGGAATTGAGGATTAGGTCTAAACTACTGGAGTATAAGGCGAAGCAAATGTATGACTTGGAAATGGTTGCCCACTCGTGGGATATGGGAGATAAAGTACAGTTACCCAGAGGTGGCCATGGATCAGTTAGATGTAGACATGACAGGATATACGTTAGAAATGATGGGAATGGTAGTCATAAAGTAACCCGTACAGCTAATTATACTGGTTAGAATTTTTTAATTGTCAAAGTTGTTATATAAATAGAAATATTAATGTGTTTTAAATAATTAAAGCAATTAATTGTACATGATTTAAGCAGTTTTTAATAAAAATTAAATAAAAGTAATTATTGTGTTTATTATGTTTATTATTAACATTATTTAAGATATTACCAAATTACATTCATAAAATTTATTTAGATTTATAAATATTATATTGAATATGAATAACATAGTACTGTATAAAAATTAAATTACATAATGAAACATTTATAAAAATTTAACATTTGTTAGGGAAACTGGAAATTAAATAACAAAGTTAAAAAAGTTATAATACACTTCCAAACTCCCCTAGATGGCTTACTAGACACAACACAAATATTTTAATTTAGAAAAGTTATAATCAATTTAATTTACTGATATGAGTCCACGAGATAATATTGTGAATACACACATTCTCACCAAAATTTAAGTTTTAGCACTTATAGCCATATATACAGCAATTAACACAATATTTCCGATTATACCAACTCTTATCTCCCAGTCCCTGCACTTTCATACATACAATCAAACGCGCATTTGTGTTCACTTTCCTAGTGGCACCAGTAGCTCACCCAAAAATACTCAA